CGAAGGTCCCGTAAGGGCAAGTGAAGGTTGTCTTCTCCTGATCATTAGGGTGAATAGGGATTTGAAAGAATCCCGATTAGCCGTCAAGAAAACAAAAATAGGAATGAAGAGCAAGACGTTCAAGCATTTGATCAATGAAAGGTAAAGGGAAATGATCTTTGCGAGTGTTCGCATTTAGCTTCCTGAAATCGATGCACATACGCCAGCCCGTCACTGTTCTTGTCGAAATCAGCTCATTTTTGTCGTTTTTTTATCACCGTCATACCGCCTTTCTTAGGGACGACTTGAACCAGACTTATCCAAGGGCTGTCGGATATAGGGTAAATGATACCTGCATCCAAAAGTTTTAGTACCTCTTTCTTGACGACTTCCTTCATCGATGGATTGAGTCTGCGTTGATGTTCGATGGATGATTTGGAATCGTCCTCCAGATGAATTTGGTGCATGCATAATGAAGGGTTGAGACATTTGATATCATCTAGAGTATACCCGATAGCTTTCTGGTAGTCTCGCAATGTGGTGAGGAGACGCTCGAGCTGTAGATCATTCAAGACAGCATTGACAATAACAGGATAAGTGGAATCGAGACCGAGAAATGCATACCTGAGTCCTATGGGCAAGGGTTTTAGCTCGAGCTTCGGAGCGACTACAGGATCCCAGTCAGGTAGATGATTCATGGAGGTTGATTCGGCGGCGAAGACGGGCAAAGATTCGAATAGAGGAATAGGCTGGAAATGAGTCCGAGAATCGACACGGTCCGAGTTCATACTCGACACGGCCGTGTCGAGTTATGCACGAGTTGGCCCGAAATGCTGCACGGTCGTGTCTGTTTTCGCACTTTTGCTCAGACAATTGACACGGTCCGTGTCGAATGACGACACGGCCGTGTTGCATGAAACACGGTCTGAGCTGGTGTCGAACACGGGCGTGTCACGTTCGATGTTTTTTGGCAGAATATCGACACGGTCCGTGTGTGTATCCGACACGACCGTGTTGCCTGGCATTCCGTCTAAACCGTCTAGGAATGACGTGTACGCGTGAATTTGAGGCTTCGTAAAGGTACTGCAACCCTGTTCAGCAAAAAGAGCAATAGATAGGGCATCGAAATCACGAAATTCAAAGAGTACCTTATCGGCTAAAGCATCCATCAAGTCGATATAACATATAGAGTCCACTGTAGATGGTTGCTTGAAATTCTGGTCGAGCGTGAATTCCACCGTTTCGTCGCCGATCTTGAGTGCCAGTCGGCCGATACGAACGTGGACAATGGCATAGATCGGAAGTAAGATACGAACGTGGACAATGGCATCTGCAGTGTTTAAGAACGCCGCCCTAGAATAATCGGGATTTTGGAGTCTTCGTCCATGTCAAGCACAACGAAATCGACTGGTACGTAGTAATCGCCGACTTTCAGCGGGACGTCCTCGAGAATACCCAGAGGATATTTGACAGAACGATCAGCTAGTTGAAGAGCCATGCGAGTCGGTTTGAGTTCTCCCACGTTGAGTTTCTTGTAGATGGAGAGTGGTAGGAGACTTACACTGGCACCTAAATCACAAAGAGCACGATCTATAGAAACATTTCCCAATTTACAGGGAATCGAGAAGCTACCTGGATCCAACATTTTCGGTGGCAGATCGTGCTGAAGAATGGCGCTGCACTCAAGATTAAGCGTGATGGTTTCCTTCTCGATAACGCGCTTCTTTGTGAGAATGTCCTTCAGGAATTTGGCGTAGGATGGCATCTGAGTGATAACCTCGTGAAACGGCATAGTGATTTCCAACTTACGCACCATGTCAGCAAATCGAGCAAATTGGGTGTCTTCTTTAGTTTTTTTGAATCGTTGAGGGAAAGGAACCGGAGGTGGACGTGGTGGCGGTGGAATGTATATGTCGCGTTCTTCATCATCCGAGATCTCTGTTGATTTTTCAGCCGCTATGGGGTCAGGAAAAGATGTAGGAACAGAGTTAGAGCACTGACCCTTTTTCCGTAGATGTGATGGCATGGTTAGCGAGCTCTTTGCCACTGCACAAGGATACAGCGTTACAGTGCTCTCGGGGGTTTGCTTCCGGGTTCCCAGGAAGTGATCCCTGAGGTCACGAAGGGACAGAGGCAGCGAGTTGCGCTATCTGGTTATCAACTAGCTTGAGATGGGCGTCGGTATTCTGCTGATGTTCTCGCATCTCGGTGCGAATGGCTTCTTGACCCTGCATAAGTTGTGCAAGCATAGATTTGATATCAGGGTCAGGACTTACCTGTGATTGAGATGAAGGCAGACCGAAGTTTTGCTGAGGCTGACGGGGAGCTCGGTAGTGTTGAGGGGCTGGGTTCTGATGCTGGGAGGCATTTCGGGGTTGAGATTGATTTCCTTGAGAGGAGCCCGGGATAGATGAACCACCGAAATTGTTGTGTTGTGCATTTAGAGCATTGGAGGAGTTCTTGTATGAGAAATTTGGGTGATTCCTCCAACCGGGGTTGTATGTGTTCGAGTACGGATTGTTGGCGACGTAGCTGACATCCTCATGCACGTACTCGTCTCGTGATGCGTCCAGATCAGTGATCTGATGGGCGTTTTCTACCTGCATTCTAAGTTTGGCAAGCTCTGCACGTAAAGCATGTATTTCAGATGGACTTTCCTTACCTGCACGGTTGTCCTTAAAACCAATATTTCTGACGAATTCGTGGGAAGGAGCACACTCGTTAGCCATCTTAGTGATTTGTTGTTCGATGAAGTCAAAAGACTTCTCATTGAGGCTTCCTCCACAGGCAACCCGAATGAGGACTCGAGTATCTTCCTTTAGACCCTGCAAGAAAGTGGAGATAAGGTACCTCTTGTCCAATCCGCGATGAGGGCAGAGGCGCTGGTATCCAAGAAAACGATCCCAAGTCTCGCGCAAAGATTCATCAGGTTCCTGCATAAAAGAGTTGATCTGTTGCTTCGCAAGCTGGGTTTTGCTGGCAGGGAAGAATCGCTGCATGAACTTCTCTTGCATCTGATCCCAAGAGAAAATGGAATCTGGTGGCAATGTGTAGAGCCATTCTAATGCAGCGTCCATTAGAGAGAATGGAAAAGCCATTAGCATAAGTGACTCATCGGTGACTCCTTGAACCGTCTTCACATACTGGCATAGCAGTTTGAATCGAGTCAGATGGGGAATTGGATCTTCATTAGGTCTGCCCCTAAATGCCGATGAGCTGAGCATACTGATGAATGTCGGCTGGAATTCAAATTTATTGCGATCGATATCGGGCCGACGAATGCATGAGAGCTGTTGAGTGTACTTGGGCTGAAGATATGCCCCATAAGTGTCATTGTCATTCTCGACAACTAAAACACGTTCCTCCATCTTCTTCTGTTGTTTCTTCTTCTTCCGAATGCGTTTGGCGGATTTCTCAATTTCTGGATCAAAAGGGACTAGGTTGTTAGGCCCAGAACTCCTGGTCATACACCGGAAAACTACACCCCAGAAAAATAGGACAAAGAACTAGAATAGATCAGGAACGGGATAAAAGTAAACGAGAAAGGATCTAGATTCAAAGGAATCTCTATCCTAGTGCTAAACTATTCCCCGGCAACGGCGCCAAAAACTTGATCACGCAAATCTAGGTATAGAAATAAGCTCAAGTAATAAAAACCTAGATACAGCGAATACCGCAAGGATACGGATCAACTGTAGTACTAGGGTCGAACACAGGGAATAGTTACCACTAAGAACAAGACTCGACTAAGATTCAGATCAGCAAATAGCAGATGAAATAGATGAACACCGAAAGTAAAACAATAAATAAACTAAGTAAATCAGATAACTAAACCACCGTAGCCTCGGGATAACCTTAACGCGCAGGGATTGTTTCTAAGGATGGAGAATCTACGAATATCGAACTCTAATCGGGGACCTCAAGTTCTAATATCAGATTTGGCTCTCTCAAGTCCTGAATCCACTATCCAATAATTTAACCTATCGATCTCTCAACCTAATAGATTAAAATATCAAACGCCTTAATGATCACTATCACAGTTCCTAAACCGATTAACCTATCTCTCAATAGTCTTAATCAATTTATTCAACGAATTCGTTCCGAATCTAATTCCAACTCTCGTTGTAAATCAGAATCTAAGATCAATCAATCAACAGGACAAGAAGATCAAAAGCAATAAACTTAATTCAATTAAACCGCCGAGTATCGATAACGTAGTCTCGAAAAATAAAAACCAAACAAATCCCTACAAGGTTAAATCCCTAGCTACAGTGAAACGACTACTCATTCCCCATAACAACAAACGAGTTCAAATCAATAAGAAGAAACATAGAAACAGATAAAGAAGACTCGCAGCGATCTCTCGATGCCGATTCTAAACTCCGTCTTGATTCTCTCTCGAGTTCTCTGGCTTCTACTGTGATCTCTCGATCATTTCTGAAGCCCAAGACGTCCTCTATTTATTTCTTTGGCGGCTAGACTTCTTTCCATTCCGAAAACGGAAGTTCGGATGCAACAATAGGAAGTTTTCTCGAAATGTAACACGGCCGTGTTGAATGGCAACACGGTCTGTGTCAATTGTCTGATCAAAACTTATGCGCTTCTGCATGGGCTGGACACGGGCGAGTTACAGATCGACACGGCCGTGTTTGACGTCGACACGGTCCGTGTGAATTGTCTGTAAGAATTCCTTCGTTTCTTTGCCTTTGCACGGCCGTGTTTGAACTCGACATGGCCGTGTTCAAGTGCAACTCGAGCTGGAAATGTCTTTATCGTTCTGTTCCGGTCCAATATGCTCTGAAGTCCTCAATTATGTTCCTCCAGCGTCCATAATGTGTCTATTACCTGTCCAATCACCAAAGAATGCAGAGGAAGCAAAAACCAGTGCTGAATGATCCTAAAGGTCTAATAACGCATAAAACTGAGGCGAAACCGTTGGACAATGGACTTTGAAATAGAGGAGAAAATCATGTTATCAAAATGCAATGCCAATTCGCATTGTTCCAAGGGAACGTCTGGTAGTTCATACGAGGTTGCATGCCACCGCCACCGCCTGCTGCTCCACCTGCGACAAGGCCGGAGGGAGGTTTGCCACCACCACCACCGATGCCTGCACCTCCGAGGATTCCGGAGCAAGTTGTAGTGGACTACTTGCCATTCGTCAAGGAACTCCGAGCCTTGGGCACTACGGAGTTTGAGGGTTCCCTTAGCCCGGAGGCAGCAGAAGACTGGATGATCAAGATCACTCATCACTTCAACTACATCAGGTGCCCGCTGGAGTACCGCACTGAGTTAGCGAGCCATCATCTGGCTGGCGCGGCTCGCCATTGGTGGGAGGAAGTTGTACGTGAGGCTACCGCAGGACACCAATTCTCGTGGGAAGAGTTCCGGGCGGACTCCCATTGGTTGGAGGAAGTTGTACGTGAGGCTCCCGCAGGACACCAATTCTAGTGGGAAGAGATTCGAGCAGGGTCACCGTATTACGGAATTCCTTCGCCTTGAACAGGGTAATATGACTGTTCGAGAGTACGAAGCGGAATTCAACCGACTGTTGAAGTATGGAGGCCACCTAGTGCGAACCGAGGAGTACAAGATCCAGAAATTCATTGCTGGGTTACGTGCTTCTCTCAGGAGGAGAATTGAGTGTCATGAGTATCCTACGTTGAGTCGGTACATCAACCAACTTGACAAGGTGGAATGAAGCGAGAAGGAGAAGATGGACGCCAAGATGCAAGACCGTGGTCCATACAGGAGAGTGCCAGTCAACCGTCCCCCGGTGAGGATTGGGCAGACGAGTCAACCCCGCGACAAGGGGAAGGCTCCAGCGTTTCGCCCCACGACCCCGGCTCAACCACTATAGTATAGGAAGCCATGTGCTAAGTGTGGTCGAGACCATACTGAACCTTGTGGAAACACCATGACGTGCTACCGTTGCAGTCAACCGGGGCATTTTGCTGCTAGATGCACTGCAAACATAACTCCTCAAGCCAACAACAAGCCACCGCGTCTAGCACAGAGGGGATCGGGTATTGGTCCGAGAGTTTATGCTCTCACAGCTGAGGAGGATGTCCAGGAGGAGCCATACACAGTGGAGGAGCCATTTACTGCCGAGCCAGTGACAACCTACGAGGCCACTGATGAAGATTATCTAGAGGAGGCTGATGTTGCTGCCATCACAGGTACCATTTGCATACATGATGTTGCATGCATCACTTTGTTTGACACAGGAGCTACACATAGCTTCTTGAGTGAGAGAAAGGCGGGGGAGTTGTCAATCATGGAGATCGATACGACTACACCTTTTATGGTGTGTACACCTGCGGGACAGACTCTTCCAGTACACAGGATTTTGCATTGCATGTCCTTGACTATCTGTGGGAGGATGTTGACTGCATATCTTATCGTCGTACCTATCCGGGGTTACGACCTAATACTGGGAATGGATTGGTTATCGAAACATCAAGCCCAAATTGACTGTCGCCAATGAACTATCTGGTTCACTGAGGAGGGCGGAGGATTTGAGTTCGTTGGAAACAGATCAAGGAAGGTGTATCCCATTATATCAGCTTTGAAGGCTAACAAGATGATCGAGAAAGGAAATGAAGCCTTCTTGGTTGTGATCACAGCAACCGAAGAATCAGAAATAAAGTTAGAAGACACTGCTGTGGTTCGGGAGTTCCCCGATGTGTTTCCTGATGAATTACCTGGACTACCACCAGAACGAGAGGTAGATTTCTCCATTGAGGTTGTGCCACGAACGGAGCCAATATCTAAGACTCCCTATCGGATGACTCCGACCGAAATGGCAGAACTGAAAAAGCAGTTAAACGAACTAATGGAGACAGGGTTTATCCGACCGAGCGTATCGCCGTGGGGAGCGCATGTGTTATTTGTAAAGAAGAAGGATGGTAGTATGCGACTCTGCATTGACTACCGAGGCCTTAACCAAATAACCATCAAGAACCGGTATCCCTTGCCGAGGATTGATGAGTTGCTTGACCAGTTGCAAGGGGCGAAGTGGTTTTC